TTCTTTCTTTCTTTCTTTCTTTCTTTCTTTCTTTCTTTCTTTCTTTCTTTCTTTCTTTCTTTCTTTCTTTCTTTCTTTTTTTCTTTCTTTCTTTCCTTCTTTCTTTCTTCCTCCTTTCCTTTCCTGGTGCTGTGGATGGAACCCAGGACAGCATAAATGTTGAGCAAGAGCCTGACCACGGAGCTATGCCCCCAGCCTGGATGGTAGGCTCTGTCCCACGGGGTGGGGGTGTCTAAGGGAGCTGACAGAAGTGAAAGTACTGGGCACAGTGAACCCCACAGAAATATTTCTATTTACGAGCCCTAATATTTCTATTTACGAGCAAATGTACCACGAAATGGGGGTGTGTGGTGGAGGTGTGACTCAGTGGTATAGCACTTGCTAGGCATAGAGGAGCCTTGGGTTCAAGCCCCACCCCCTGCCAGATACGAAACAAACAAGTGGCTTAGAGGCCAGGGGAGTCTGCAGTCCCTTTGGCCAGGAGCTACAGCCACCACTCCCAGCAGGAACTTTTGAAACAGGGAATTCCCATCACCTTGGAGCAGATGTGCATGCACCACAGCGTGTATGTGTAGGGGCTTCAGAGCGCAGCCTTGGCAGCCGGCACTCCCCTCCACTGTGGTTGGAGACAGGGCCTTGTGAAGGAGTATTCCTGGAAAGGAGCGGTGTCTACAGAAGCGGATTAACTGATTAGATCCCCAGTGATGTTCAGAGGCTGCAGCACAGCAGGTCCAGAGCCTAATAACAGCTGAGCCCAATTACAGGCTAACTTGAGTCTTCTAAATAGCCATTCCTAACCACCTTCAACACCCTGTGGCTAACCGAGAAAAACCTTCTGCAATGTACTGACTTAACGAAACCCCATTTTCCCACCAACTGAAGGGTTAAGAAAGCAAGCCGACAGCATCTGAGGCCTACAGCGGAGATTCTCCTGCTTTGCCGTAACCACCTAACTCATGCTCCCACCGAGGTATTTAAAAAGTGTCTCAATTCATCATTCTCTTTCTCTCGTTACTGTAAAAACTTCATGAGGTCGGGTGGTGGTGGCGCACGCCTTTAATCCCAGCACTCGGGAGGCAGAGGCAGGCGGATCTCTGTGAGTTCGAGGCCAGCCTGGACTACCAAGTAAGTCCCAGGAAAGGCACAAAGCTACACAGAGAAACCCTGTCTTGAAAAACCAAAAAACAAACAAACAAAAAAAAAAACCACAAAACTTCATGAGACTGCTTCATGTTGGAACATGGAATTTGGGGTTACCTAATCTGCATTCCTGACTCCGGTCACTCAGCTCCAGAATAAACTCACCCCTCACAAAAGGGATGTTCCTAGCCTCTTGTTCACTGCTGCATCTGCCAGGCTAGCTGACCTGAGAGCTTCAGGTGACTCATTCTCCTGCCTCCACCTCCCATTCTCCCATAAGGGCACACGAGGATTAGACACTTGTGCCGCTGTGTCCAGCTTTATGTAGCTCTGTGGATCCAAACTCAGGGTGTCAGGCTTGCTGGTAAGCATCTTACTGCTGAGCCATCTTCTAGTGACTGATCACCTGCTCAGAACACCTTGTTCTTTACAGTGAAGTGCCGGGATATGGCTTTCGCTCCATGGATCAAGCTGAGCAGTGAAATCTGAGCACACAGAATGGCATCTCATGGAGAAGCCACTGTTGGAGACTGTGGTAGATTGGTTATGGCCTGGAGCGGGATGTGGGGAGTTTTGCTGAATAGGAGCATCTTTGGTTTTTGAAGATGATGGGGGTTGTGAAGGTGGATGATGGCAACAGTGGGTACATTATGAATGCATTTAAATGCCACTGAACCACACATTTAAAATGGTTACGGTGAGAGATTCTGTGTTACATGTATTTGCTACAGCTTGCCTCTAGGTCACATATATCATCTCTCTCCCCCACGCCCCCCTCCCTTTAGGCCTCTCCATCCCCTCCCACACACACCATACATGTATATGTAAATTTATATCTAGATTCTGTGTTTGAGAGAATACACAGTATTTGTCTTCCCAAGTTCGGCTTATTTCACTTAACACCTTCAGTTTCATCCTCTTTCCTAAAAATTGCATAAAATTTTATTCTTCTTTATAGCAGAATAATACTCTATTCTGTATACCTATTTCATTGTCTTTATCTATTCGGCTGCTGATAGACCTCTAGTGGTTCCATTTCCTCGTTACTGTGACTAGTGCAGCAATAAACAAGGATGTGCAACTGTGTTGACCGACAACCCTTTGGGTATATACCCAGAAGTGGTGCAGCTGGGTCAGACGG